TTCCCGTTAATGGCAGCAGCCATAGTGCATTGTCCAGGCTAGTGTGGAATGGAATATTAATGGAACACCTGCTGTCTCTCTTTGCCGAGAGTAAGTTCGCCACATATTTTCTACACATAGGAGAGTGCTTTTAAAAGTGTTGGAGAAAGCTCTCTGTTTGTTTGATAATAAGAGAAAAGCTTCAATTCTTCCTCGTCTCTCCCTTATCCCCCCCCTCCCCCCCCCCGCTCAAACTCCCTATTTCCGCTATCGTTCTCATGGTCCCCGCTGTCTGTGCGGGCGAAGATTAATCGTGTAACAACACCTGGCACTTAATCGGTCTGCTTGCGGAAAATCCCATCCTCTCGCAAGTAGTAGTAGTTACACTCTTGTCAGACACGGGGCTCACCTCGCCGCTATCGACAAAGCTTCCATTGTCCCAGTTAGGTCAGAATTACCGATGTGTCGTTCTACGGATAGAGAGCGGAAGGTACAGCGCTCGTATAGCAGATTTAGCTGCCACACAATTCGCGGGGACAAAAGACTGCATTTATAACCTAATTGACAGTACAGTTTATTGAGTAAACTTCCCAAGTTAATCGAAGTTCATGTCGCTCAACTAATAAAACAACTAGAGCGTCGCTCATAATTAGACGAGAATTTCCAATACGTTTTATAAACGACACAAATTGATTTCTGCATTGTCGCAAATATAGCCGCAAAATACGACTGTACGGTTACATTTTTTATAACTTTTCATTTTCAATCGACAAACGTGACGTCAATTGCTAATCAATTCATAAGTCGCTCAATTTGAAATACAAATTATAAAGTCAATTAGCATATTTGATAATGTGAGATAAACACACTTTTCGGTTGAACTCTGTAGCTTTTGGCTGCTGCCACGGGACGCTAACGCTTTAAGTAAACCTTTAAGTAGGTGACTATAGCACTCTAAGCGTAGTTATTTTAAAAACCTTGTTATGGAAAAGGGAAATAAAAAGAATTGCCCAGAAGTCTTAAAGTTCACTATTTTCACATTCTTCTACCTCATAAAAATATAAATAATGTAAATTTAAATTTATTCTATAATACTATTACAAAATAGAATTAAAAAAAATTAAATTTGTTTAAGATGTTCCGTGAGCATCCCACTTACCTACCTAAAGGTTTAAAATTAACAGATACTGTAACGGAATAGATAATCTGCACCGCATAAGAATTGAGGTGATCTAGTTAAGACGGGCACTTATAGCACGGAATTCTCGATGAAGAGATCGCGTACCGTACGGAATCAGAATACGAGCCGAGGATCGCGCTACATTTCCACTGTGCACGATTCCGGGATGAAGATAAAAAGAAAGGGAGGGAAAAAAAAAGTATCAACGTCCTAGAAAGCCGTACAGTCGTTTCCCTGGCAGCCGCGCACCCAATAATCGTCTCCGCCGGCAGTGATCATAACAGTTACGTCGCGCGCGAGATCGTCTTTTTTCGCTGAGCTGAATATAACATTATTATATGTATAAGAATGCGGCTACGGGAAAAGCCGGGAGACCGTCATCGATATGAACGGCACACGTGTTGCAAGCGATATTCTTTGAATAAATCTGCAATGAGTTTTCCGCGTGGGGAAGGTTTAATCCGTATTTATACGTTCGAAGCTCTCGTCATCTATTCGTTATTTATTATTCACATTGTAATATCCGAAGCAACGCTTTAAAATCAGATAAATGGATATTTCTCGATAAGGGGAAAGATAAGAATTTTCTTTCTACATTCAGTCGGATTTTTTGATAAAAAGCGAAATTTGTGAGAGAGAGAGAGAGAGAGAGAGAGAGAGAGAGAGAGAGAGAAAGAGAGAGAAACGAAAAATGAGGTCGGAATGGAAATCTTCTGGTGAAATTTTCTACGAGCAGATTCCCACAATCCTCGTATCCGCCATTTCCGCTTTCGAAACTCTTTCGAAAGCGAGCGGCTTATCCCCCGCGATCATCCGCCATTTACACGTTCCCTTTCGGTTACTTGAAAGACGAGGAAACTAGAGATTCTTAAGTAAGAGATTTGGACATCGTTTAGACAACTTCTGATTGATTCACTATATTTTTCTGCTTAAGCTAGAATGAGCTAGATGCCTAAGATAGAGTGAGATGCGTGGGAGCAGGTCCTGAAAAATATGGTGGACCAACGTACGGTGTCCAATCTCTTACTTGAAGATTTCTAGAGGGAACGCATCGCGTAACGTTGCTCGAATTCATATTTCACACGTTATAATCTTTAATTAAAGCAAGTTTTCCGCCGCGTATAATGCGAAGTCATTAGACGTCGTCAGATGCCACCGCGGGTTGCCATCACCGTATCCCGCCACCATCCGGTTTCTCATCTCTTGGTCTGCCGTTTTGTCTGTCTTCCTCGAACTAACCGCCGTTTCGCAAAAGCGTTTAAACGAGTGGTGGTCGTCGTTAAAAATTACGAGCTGCGATATCTTATGATGTTCCCCGCGTATCGCTCCTTGATATGCAACTGCCATTAACCTATTTCATGTACCGTCTCACAAGCATTGTCGGACATCTTATGGAAGCCGATTGCATGAGTTTGTCTTCATTACGCGTGGAACAGCACAACAGATGTCGATAATTATTCCTTCAAGGAAAGTCTGATGTATCTAAAAATGATCAAATATATTGGTTGGAACTGCGATATTTGTATATGAGATGCTGATCGAAAGTTTCCATATGCAAAACTATAAAAAATGGAGATTTAGCTGTAGCAGCATTTTAAAGTTGCTACTTTGGATCTGATCATTTTAACTGAACTAAAAATTAAATATCTTTATCTTCAGTTTTGGTAACTGCTCTTTAATACTTTTAGACACAGAATAATGAGATAAATCAAAATAATAAAAAAAAAAAAACACCTAGTTGCTTTTAAAAAAATTATACAATATGCATATTACATTTTTTTTTAAACTACATATATATTTTTTACATTAATTGATAAATAATTATGTAGAATAGGCGCAATTGGTTGTTAGAATATTCAAACTTTTTGTTGCATTGCTTAAAATTCTTCCGCAATTATTTTGATGATCCAACCAAATTATTTTCAGATCTGTATATCTAGCTAAATTTTTAGATACTTTACTTTAAAATTGTTCTTTTATCTCTTCATTTTTTTTCGAGGACACATATCATCGTAAAAAGATGGCACTATAATAAACGAGTTTCTTTTGCATCTGTTTATGACAAAATAATAGTTGAAACAATACATGTAAAGCGTTATATAAACTCGATGAAATAAAACCGAAGATGCAGTTGTTTGTGCTGCAGTACATCATTGACGCCGGTCCTCTTAGTTGTCGACGTAGAGCTTATTCACTCGCTCGTTCAATGTGTACATAACTGTATCTTATTGCGAACTATCTTGATGTCTCGTCGGTATCACTGTACATTTCGATACAAGTTCAGGTAACCAAGAGCGATTTCACTGCTGCAGCAAGTAATTCTGCGATCCGACCGAACGTTTCTGTTTCGCATTCGAGGCGGATTCGGCATCCGCCACCGTTGAACATCCGCTTATGTTTCCCGAACGACGCTGCACCTCCATTACGGATGGTACCGTTCATTTCCCCGTTCTCGTTTCACCTCTCTGCGGGTACGCCACTCGTCATGCTCCTCGTCGACGTCGCGATGTACTCTTGACACACCGCACTCGTGCTCACGAATGCAGGCTTTCTCGCGATCGTCCGGGAAACGAGCGTCATCGTTGACGTCATCCTAGTTGTCGTCGTCGTTGTCGTCGAAAAAGGAAGAAAAGAAGGAGACTCCAAAGAACCTAACCGAACTGAGGAGCGGATGAAGGCGCGGTAATGGAGGATGTTTGCAAGCACGATGGGGTTGGTAGTTAGGGCGGATGGATAAAGGGGTTTTATTATGTCTGAGGAAGTCACGCGAGTGCTCCGTAACGGAGGATATACCTGTGAGGCGACGACAAAAAGCAGGTGGGTGATTCTCCATGTCCGAGAACGAGTCACGAAGACACACGCGGATAAGTTTGCGCGAGTCGTACGATATAAAAGGTTTTATTGTGTCTTCATGGACGAGTCGCGTGAGAGATGGCTAAGAGCTACCTACGCACATAGTTTCATTGTAGAGATAAAGCCTTTATTCGCTTATTGTTTGACGGGTGCGGCGCGAATCGTCGTGGACGAAATTAAAGGCACGTTCTTCGCTATCTCGACCCATTTGCAAATCTTTACAACTCCGTCTGCGGCTTTCCGCAAATATACGTCTGAATTTTTAAATACAGGTTTTACTTCAAAAGAATTCAGAATTACAAAATATATTATAAAACATCTCCGATCATAACGAATTTAAAAAAAAAAGTAAAAAAAAGACACTAAGTGTGCGTGCTCCTCCCAGAAAAAATTGTTACATAAATTCTCGTATTATTACGCTCTTGTATGTGTGCTCTTTGAAGAAAAAAATGACTTTCTATTCCAAACCTATTTTCCAAATTATAAAAGTATATAATAATTTTTTTCAAAAAATATGTGAAATCCTTAAATTATAAACAGAAAATACATTTTGTTGAGACACTAATGTTTTATATATACGTATATATATATATATATATATATATATATATATATATATAAATCTCTTTTAAGCAAAAATACATGAAAATAAGAGCAACTAGTTGAAATAAAAAAATTTAATATTAAAAAACTGGTACCGCTAGCAAAGCGGCAAAGCTTGACTTGATCTAACAGCGCCAAGTTTTTTTACACTAAATTTGTTTTATTTTAACTAGATGCTCTTATTTTCATCTATTTTTCAACAAAATGTATTCTCGCAATTTGGAAATATGATTATCTTAGATTAACTATTAAAAATACATTTTTTTAAATAAAATAATTTTTCAATACAGTATTACATAATATTAGCCAATTATATAAACTCAGAGTCATATTGACTACATGTACTAGACTTTTAATTATAATATGCCGAAATCAACAAAACGAAGCACTTTATTCCGTAATTTTCACTGGTACTTTGAAGCAAAAAACTACATCGTCATTTTCTTCTCGCAATGCGTAACGTACGATTAGTAAAACCTGTAAGCAAAGTTATAACAAACATTTATTGACAATCAAGTTGAAATAAAGTTACGAAAGAAACAAATTGCGCATAATTAAAAAGAAAATATATATATCATTATTAAGTTATTCTTAAACTGATATCAGACTAGAGATTGAGATTGGATTAGAATTTGATCAATTACAACAAAGTTAACTCAATGTTGGTTTTTCTAATTGATTAAATTCCATTTAATCTTAAATTAACGTTGTAATTTATATATATTTATTATATACATATATTTAATTGATAAATATGCGCAATTATGAGTCTTCTTTAAATTTTAAAATTTGTAAAATTACCCTGGGATATATTGATAAAATAGGGAAACTGTTTTTGTATATATATTGTTCGCCTTTCTTTAAGGGACAACCGGCTTTGCTACCATCAGCGTTGTAAATATTATCACAGGCATTTGTTCCATCAACTCCTACGAACGATATGGGTATGCCGATAATTCCCTTCACGTTATTTTTTAATCTCTGAATATCTTTGTTAGGCACAAGATTTATTTTTATAAGGACGGTCGTTCCTTGTTTTAACAGACACACAGGCTCGTCGCAGTTGGATATCGTGACCTGATTAGCATCTTCTAACGGGGTGTCTAAAATCATAAATCGTAATTTGAACAATGTGGATATAATTTGTGCTTGTTGTGTCTCCACACAGTTCGATTTCAAATTATTTGATTATGTAAATCATAAACACATACATTAATCAAACCACATGATTATTTTATTCATAAAAAGCAATTTAAATTAACATTAAAGTAATACATCGCACGTTCTTTGTTCAAAGAATATGCCTATATACACATTAGAGTAAAAAAAATAGAGGATGAATGAGAAAAAATTATGAGATTTTTATAAAGTTGATTGCTTTGAAATATTTGATCTTCAGAGAGCCTATTACAGTGTCTGAGAATTTAAAATAAGAGAAATTAGAAAAAAAAGTAGAATATATGAAAACGAACGTATTGTATAATTATTGTACAATTTCTATTCGCGCTAATAGATAATGACCGATTAATTATTAAAAATTTTTTTTAATTTATCAGACATTGGTAGTAATTTTTATTAAAGTGCTAGATTAATGTCATTTCATAAAAAGCAGAAAATTACGTCAATAAATAAATCGACATTAATAATAAATTTTCCTCAATGTCGTAAGAAAAAAAATATAAGTTTATTCAGATTGAAAGATGATGACACGTGCTTCTTGCTTTTCATGATCATGATTCTGAAGGTTATTGTTAAAATGGCTAGACAGCCGTTTAGCAAGAAATCCTAGTACAATAAGACGAATGTAAATTGTACTCACGCAAACATGACAGTGTGATTTTAATTTTTCTTATGCATTTTTAAAATTATCCTTTTGTAAATGTAATTTTTTAAATCATATACAGTTATTTACATTATTGCGATGCAACAATCCATTTAAGCATGCAGTAAATCGAACAGGAAGAAAGCTAAAAATATGATTCGATAAAAGTATATTTTACTAGTTTGTACGTTCACATTGAAAATGCACGAAATAAACGTGTTATCAGTACGCATAACTGTCGCATTTAGTGGTATCAGTAGTACAATATCTTTTTAGAGAAATTCCAGTTTTAACTGGTTTTGACTACAATTTTGAAGGTTGATCCGTATAGTATATTCTTTCCTGCTGATTTTGTTCGCTATGCTTTGAACGTACAAAGAAAAGACTTTGTTTATGTACTTGTACGAATCACGATATTTATTTTTTACTTTAATCGACGTTTCTAAATTAGCATTGAAAATCTAACGGTAAAACAAGTCGATCGTAAATTAATGTATAAATTAGTATTTCGCTTATTACTTTCATCATGTATTAATTATATTTCTTATAAGCAATTATATACGTATTAATAATAAAACTATATTCGTTGTCTCGTTTACATATCTTTAATAATTAAGAGTCATTAAATATTATTATTTGACGATAAGGTTATGAAAACACTAATTATAATTTTTGCCACAAGCATGAGCTCGAGCTCTTTGATATAATCGTTCAATGTTTCACTTATATGATAATCTTAAAAATAATCTGCTTGACTTTTTAAGAACAAAATTCTACTTCAGTAATTTGCCACATGATTACGAATAATACATTCCTGTTGATAAATACTTGTACAATCCTTGAAAAAATAACAAAACGAAATTAATACGTTCAATATAGTATACAATATGTCACAAGAAGAATTTTAAATATTGAAAATATATCAAAAGTCCCTCATTTACATCAGAATATTTTAAAATATGTAAAGTATAAAATTTTGCCAATCTATTTTATGGAAAAATTGTGCAAGTATATGTAAAATTTATTTCATTTACAAGTTACATATTAATTAAGAGTTAAACATTAAAAAAAACATTTCCATTTAAATAAATAAAAATATTGTATAAATACATTTATTACTTAGACATGAATTAGTAATGAAATCTAAAAATACACTTATCAAGTAAAATCGAGATGCGTAATTTAGAATGCATGTACAATATGTACATGGATATGTGTACGTATCTATAGACAAGATATACTTTTTAGATATATTTTAGTTTGCCTTGATAACAAACTATGACCAGATTGTTTTATTTTTTTTCTACTTTTATCTCTATATTCGTAAGAATTTTCTTCAATACATCAATTTCTTCAAAACACACATTAATTATCTTAAAGCTAAATCATATTTAATTTTTGATCAAATTTTAAAAATAAAGAATTATTTGTTCTTTTTGGAAACTTAGAATAAAACCGTTCACATACTTATAGAGTTATAACATTTTTAAGAATGCAAATAGAAAAATAAATCGATAAACTTTGACCAAATGTTTTAGAATATTCTGTATAATAAAATTTTGATGCAATGCAACGCCGAGAGAGTTTCATGAAAGTACTTAATGATATCAACAAATCTTTTCATGTAAAGAGAAGCAGTTTTAATTTTAAAATAAGTATCTTAGATCTGTAACTTTGCCAGTGACATCAAAAAACGATCATAGCTCTCAATACATTAAAAGCAAATTTAATAATTATTTATCGCAACTTTTTATATATAATACTTTATCCGAAAATTCTCTTACGCATGTTTGAAATAACAATATTATTGTTGATTATTTAGTTATTTAGTTAATCCAGAAAATTTTCGTTTGTCAACTCATCTGTATATTACTAATATTTACGTAACGGTGTTACGTGAATAAATAAGTCAACTTACAAAATTATAGAAAAAGCAATGAATTATTATGTTGCAGAAATAGTTCGCATTTTAAATGTGATTTATTAAAAATTAAAAACTCTTTTAATAGGTTAATGTATGTTTTTATAATATTTATATATTTTTATTCAATAATTAATTTACCAGAATCACAGTGATTAACTAGCGTGGCACTGGCAAGCACAATGAGCGCCGCGAAAATGAGAATCCTTTCTCTCAGCATCTCGTGCGGTGAAAGTGTTTCTACTTTTCCGTTCAAGAAACTTTGTCAGAGTGCTGTGAGTCTGATCAGACTCAATTCTGGCTTTCGACTGATAACTAACTCGCGGTGACAGGTGCCTATATCGTTGCGCTGTATGTGAAACTCTTGCTTATGTATTCATACAGCGCATGACATTCAACGTAGCATATTCGACATAAAATTTGTTTCCTGAAGACAAAAATGTTGCTAACTAGAACCGAATTATCTTATTGGATATCATATCGTCGTATATCGGATGTCGCGTGAAATCATTAGGTATCCTCATTAAGGAAAAAGATAAGAAAATAAAATATCAAAGTTTGTATATTGATTTTTAAAAAAGCGTATGTTTTCAAAGACTGTTCTCGTAAATCTATAATTGTAATCAAAGACTTAATAATTAAAGGAATTGATAAAAAAAAAATGAAAACACAGTTAAAATATAATAGCATAATCTCATATAATACATAAGTCTCACGGCAAATAGATTAATTGTAAGTGAGTCAGCTTATTATTAATAAGGAATCTATTAAAATTATTAATAAGATAACAAATTTTGGGTCCCCTAAGCTTTGAGAATTTTTTAAATTTTTTGCTGAGGTCAGAATTGAAAATTAATGGTCACATTCGAAAGAGGGAACATTGGTGAATATTGAAATAAATTATATTTATATAATATATTTATATAGATGCAGTAGAAATTCAAAAGAAAGGTAACATTTGGGGCACCTTAACAAAATGTGTACCCAATGTGAATATAATATATTCTCTCTTTTTCATACAAAAATATTAACAATATAGAAACTAAAGTAATCCAAATATGAGAAGAATAATCGACTATGATTGGTCAATTTTCTACGACTTAAAACCCTACGACCACTACGACTTCTATTGTAGACCTCGTATAACTCATATATATTACAAAATAAAATATAAAATCTAATAAAGATTGATTGATTGATTTTCTTATGCGCTACGCATTAGGCGTTATGCAATTTGTACTGCAGCCATTACGATAACGATATATTTTCACGAAGCGATGCCACGAATGACCAGCGATCTAGCTTTCTATCGATATATTGATACAATGCTAGCGAAACCGTAGATAAATAGTATCGCAACAGGCGAACGTTATCTGTCGTTTAAAATATAAAACGGATAACATTTCCGAGGGCGGTGATGATGACGTACCTTAAAAATTTGACATTTTGGACTTCGCATCGCGATATCTCCGTTTGTAAAGCACGTAGGCAATAAAAGCACATAAATTATATAATTTAAACCCGAGTTGTCCATTGAGACTACTCGAAATCGATCAACTTCCGATCTCAATGATCCGATAATCTCAGATGCTCGTAACTCGTCGACTCGCGTAAAAACACGTGGCGGTCTTTTAACACTACCGTATCTTTTAATACGATCCATTATTAAATTATTTTTAAGTTTTTAACATACAAGTTTATAATATGCTTTTAATATGGAAGAATTTGTTAAAGTATCTAAAAATGTAAGTAGATATAGATCCAAAAATAATTTTGTTGGACTATCAAAATAATTATATAGGAAACTCAAGTATGATCAAAAAACTTTTAGCAACACATTTAAGCTTTCTACACAATTATTTTGCCCAACAGAATTATATTTTCAGATTATATTCATCTATATCTAGCTGAATTTCTATATATTTCAGGAAAACCATCTTTTCCGTGTGAAAAATAATTGCATAACAATAAAATACGAATATAAAGTGTACCGTCACTTACACTCGTGCGAGGAAAGAATGGAAAATCGAAGGAAAGAATGTATCATTCATGCCGATTTCTCGAATTTATTAAATGGTATTACTATTGTCTAACTTTATCGTTTTATTTCACATCCGTCTCGATTTCTTGTTTTTATTTCGTGATACTCTGACCTATCGTGTTTCCGCTGTGCGATCTCAAGTAATTTCTCGTGGATATCCGAAAAGTATCACAGGAGTATCATCGGCCAAGCCGTCCCGCGGCATCGATTGATTCGACCTATCTACCTGCGCCGTCCGCACAACGTCGCATCCATCACCCCTTCGGGGTCCATAAATAAATTATAGTCGCGTGACATTTACCAGCTACACACCCGGCGCGTTCTTTCTTCGTCCTCACTCTCCCGATCTCTTTCGACATGGTCCGAGTATAAAGGGGACTTCTTCACCTACGTCCGTACGACGAAAACGTGACGCGGCACGCGTTCGCTCAAAGAGTTTTCCCATGGACGTGAACGCTGATGTAAAGAACAAAATAAAGGGCGGAAAAGAAAAATGGAGGAAGAGAGAAGGAAAGAGAGAAAGGGGGTGGGAGAGAGGGTGGAAAAGAGGGGGAGAGGGGGGGAGAGAGAGAGAGAGAGAGAGAGACCTGTGGGAAAACATGTGGGAAAGCCGGAAACTGGAACGAACGAAATCGTGCTCCTTAAGTTTTCTTTCGTAGCATTGCCGAGCATTCACTCTTTTGACCGGTCATCCGATAAGGAGATCTCAGCGTTCGTTTTTAGTTCGGAGACGAGCGTGGTCTCCGTGGAGTATCCAGTTGAACCGCTCGCGGAAACCGCTGCGACCGCAAGCGAAAAAACAAATAACTCCGCGATATTTCCTGCGGAAATCCTAATAGAAGCAGAAAGCGTGTCCCTTGCGATTTAGTTCGTTTAGAGAATGTCGCACGCGATTTAGTATTGTTGTGATTTACAGTTCAAGCATATGCGAGAAATCTTGTAGTAGAAGAATCGTAATAGAGAAAGAGGAAGAAACAATCTTGACACATTGCAGGAAGAGAGTTAAAGTCAGATTGAATTTTATTTACATGAAAGTTGACGAAAAAATGAAGACGATACCAGAAGGATAGGGACTATTTTCTATACTTAATTGGAAATAACAGAACTGCTGCAGAGAGATACATTTACTTTTATAAATAGTTTTACTTTCTTATTCTACCATTTCATTCGATTAGACTACTTCGAGGTATTCTATTCTTGCGGCGCTTCAAACGAGTGCGAGACCATCTTATACAAACCTGCATTTGAGGTGAGATATAAATAACTTAACAGATACTGCGGGAGGATGCGCGAGAAACTGTTAAATGGCGGGTAGTAAAAACCGAATGACGTCAGACAATCGGAAAGATGCGCGTGCGATCCTAAAACAATACGGTTATTTATTGCGAATGGTAGCGGATGCGTCTGCGGTGTATACGCGAAGAAATATATGGCTCGCCTTTATCGGGGACGTTTATGAGCCTGGATTACAGCCAGCGAGAAATTGGCCCCCGCAACCTGACCCGAGTTGCACGCGTATTTTTGATCGACTACTTTAAGGTGGCCATCCCTCAGGAGATGGACGGCCACCTGCGACAGAGATAAAACCAGGACTCTGCTTCCGTTTTCTCTCTCTTTCTCTCTTTTTCTTACCTCTCTCCTCTTTTATTATTTTTTTTTTTGCAGGAAAACTGCGGAGTGGTGCGCCGTTAAATTACACGATGCGTCACGGTCTGCGGTCGAGATTACGCGCGATGGTGGAAAGATCCGCTCGGTCTGCAATATCGCTAATGGCCGCGAATCGCGTAAATAATAAAATAAACAAGGCTGCACTTTGCAGTAAATAACAAACAACTTTGAGAACCGTCTGTGATGCACGTGAAACTGATAGTTGGAGAAATTTCCTTCAGAAAATTCAAATCGAACGCTATCTTACCGTCGTTAGTTGGAAAAAAAAAAAAACGGAAAAATCGCATCCTAAAAATTTGCACCGTTTGCATTCGATCGATTCCGGAAATCCCGTTTATCATCCCTCGGCTTTCGTACCTTTTATCTCCTAGATACGTCAAAAGTAGACATCGTATATCGGTGCTCGCTTTTATAGGACGTCTAAAAATATTTCTGGGTCATTGTCCGCCAGTGTTTCGTTCCTCGTAATAGTTCCTCGTAATAGCCGGGTGTGAAGTAAGGTTTTGAGAGCCGGCAGAAAATGCAGCTTTATAGACGAACACTTTTCGTCAGTACTTGCGGGCGGGAAGAGTCTTCAAAATGGCGCGGACACGTTCCTTTTTTTACTACGTACGAGCTCGTAAAGGAACGCGAAGGAGACTCGACGATTACGACGTCTACGGCCGCCGACAAAGTCTGGCGTTAAGTGTTCAAAGCGGATGCTCTTCGCGTGACTTACAATCCCAATATGGCGATCCGGTTACAAGCGGATCGTATTGCGGGAATTTTTAGGGCCGGCTGCTTTACTGTGCGCCAGATTACTCGACAATTACAAAGAGAATTCGCCGTACGTCTGGACATCGCGTGACAGGAAAGGAACGATATTTTAGTGGTAGGTCGTGCGTATAATTTCGACGAAATTAATGTTTGCTCTTGACACCATTGCCGTTGCCGCCAGATATTTCTGGATAGCGTGGCTATCCAAAGAAAATAGAAAAGTGAGTAAAAGGGTGAGAAATTCTAGCGCAGAGATTCCAACGAAGGAATTTTTATGTCTATTTTATTTTACAATTGAAAGAGTATACACTCTTGGAACTTAAAGTGAGATAGGTTTGACATTTGGTGAAAGCGAGAAAGAGAGTTCTCTAGTGCAGTCTAATGCAGAAATAAAAAGCAAACCTTTTGTTTACGAAGGCATTACGTGAAAATGATGATCGTTTCGTCGCTCCAGCTTGCGGTTGCAATTATGTTCGAATTATGTTCGATAGCGTCAGGTATCGGCCTCGTAAATACTTGATTAGGTAAAGTTGCCCCTCCGTGGCAACCTTTTCTCTCCTCGTGTACGGGGACGGTGCGATAAGGCAACGTGGAGAACACACTGGCGTGCGTGAAGACAGTAAATATTTCCCGCGGAACGTAAAACGCGATACGCGTCCCGCCCGGTTACGTTCGTATAGGGCTTTAAATAAAGCGATGAATTTAGTCAGAAGAGGGTAGGCGCCTGGCTCTCCTTGGCCTTTAAGTAAAATCTCCGTTGAACTAGAAGGGAAGATTTATGCGACGTTTAAATCAGTAAATAGTTTCACGGTGGATAATCCTTTTTGCTGCAGGAGAGAAGCGCCTGTTTTCTTCCTTACAACCACCAATCTCACCTTTCCTTGTCCGAGAGAGGGAGAGGGAGAGAGAGAGAGAGAGAGAGAGAGAGAGAGAGAGAGAATGAGAAAAGAGGGGCGGGAGAGAGTGCATTTTAATGCGGGCACGATTTACAGCGCGAGTATTATCTTCATTAGCGTGCAACGTCCTGACATTTTCCGACTGTAATAATTACTTAGAGCATTATTTCGCGCCGCGTAATCTCTCCGCCTTCCAAGGTTTCTCAATCTCGCTCTTAATACCCAGCCAACAGCCGGTATTCCACGTGAGATATCGCCGATGGAAGTTGTTTCGATCCCGCCACGAACAAAGCTACAAATAGTGTTGTTAACCGAAACAAATTACTTTCTGTCTACGAATAGGGGAAGCTTCATTCCACGTTATCATGTACCAGGTGGTGCCCAAGGTGCAAGGGATTCCAAGCAAGATTAATGCTTCGGAAGATGCGCGGGGGCTTTCAAAGGATGATAACTCATAGAAGGGGCGGCGCGCTGGCGTGTAACGTGCCACTAAATTGTACCCGCGGTGGAAAAGTGGATATGTCAACCGTCTCGTTAGCTTGTAGTGGCCTTTAAATAAAGCGATAAATCCGCCGGAAGAGTTCATGACCCCATGCATCCTATGGCGACGTGCTGCCCCTCCCATCTTCACGCAGTTTTCTCGCAGCTTTTTATCAAGCGCGACCGCTCGGCCTTTCTTCGAGCCGAGTCGTAGAATATATATGCACGTTACGTGATCTCTCGATGGTAATACATTTTTTACCAATCTGTGCACGACGTAAAATACTGAAGCTTGCGCGCGCGCG